GTTCTCAGTAAACAATTTTCGTAAGTAGATCCCACTCATGGTACCCCCATGTGTGTCAGAGTAGAACTGTGCTGATTTCTCAGAAGTAGATCACCTTGTCTGCCTTCTAAGTCTCTCTGGGTGGGCTCTAGTCAGCAGCGAGCTTGTGGACCATTGGCACCACACAGACTCCCCAGTGTTCTACTCTCTGTGTTACGTCAGACTCACAACTTGATAGCAAGTGATGGTTTTCCTGACTTTTGAATTAATGGTCAATGCATCGTGTTTTGTGATGTCACGTGAATTCCAACTCATAGCCCATTGCTTGAAGTTTCCTAGGCTACCCTGTTTAGCCTAGGGAAGACAAAGATCTCCCGGTCCTTGTCCTTGCAATCCTCTGGGTGGGTTCAAACCATCAACCTTTCAGTTAGCGGCCTCTGATAGTGTCAGTCATTTGTACCACCGGTGACCCCTTATCAAAACACCAGGAGGGTAAGAAAGAGCCCTCTTTTCTTGGTACTGGATTCTATCAGAAGCCAGGGAGAAGGCAACTTGTCCAAGCGAATGAGTGGAATCAGCCACAGGGAAGACGGGAATGTTCAGGAGGTAGAAACTGCTGTCATTACCAGTGGTTAGGGAAGGGTCCCTGGGTCAGGAACGTAAAGTCAAGAGCCCAGCGTGGCCCTACTCCCACTACTGATAGGGGCTTTTCTGCAGTAATCTTCGTCGGCAGAAGGAACCTGGTTGTGAGACTGTTGAGCCCATTAGAGACCCAGTATGTGAAATCATTGGTGCTGAAGGCAGGGCTGGGATTTGGATCACTGGTGGAGTGTGGGAGACAACAATGGGGACCAGTCAACACTGTAGTAGCAGTACTATTTAAGTGCTGTCAAGTCGCTTCTGACTCATAGCTACCTCGTATAAAGACTCCGAGGAGCGGCTGGTGACTTTGAGCCCCCCACCTTGCAATTCAAACCGACTGTGCGGTTCAGTGCCTATCCGACTGCACCACACCAGGACTCTATAGAGTCAACACTAGAGAGAAGGTGAAAGCCAGGTTCGTTGTCAAGGCCCTTGAGAGGGTGAGCTCATTGGGGCCTGCTGTGTCTCCTGATTCAGAAAGCTGTCACTTTGTAGGGCACTGGGCTCAGTGGAGGAGTCTCGACCTCTCTGTTGGTGGTGGTGGTGTTGGCTGCTGTCCACTCAGTTCGGACTCATAGAGACCTTATACACAGGAGAACGGAATACTGCCCGGTCCTGTGCCATCTTCAGAATCACTGTTAAGCTTGATTGTTGCGGCCATTGTACCAGTCCATCTCATTGGGGATCTCCTCTTTTTCACTGACCCTCCATTGTAACAAGCGTGATGTCCTTCCATGGGGACTGGTCCTCCTGATACGATGTCTGACGTATGAGAGATGAAGTCTGACCATAAAGAGTGTTCTGACTACTTCTTCCAGCACACTTTTGTTCGTTCTTCTGGCAGTCCATGGTACTTTCAATAGTCTTCCCCAACACCATAAATCAAATGCATCAGTTCGTCTATAGGCTTCCTTATTCATTGTCCAACTCTCACATGCATATGAGGTAATTGAAAGTATTTTAAGTCCCCTTCACTTCCAGCACGCAGGGTTGCATCATCTTCACATTGCAGGTTGTTAACAAGTCTTGTTCAAATCCTGGTGCCATGTTCTTCATAAAATCCAACATCTCAGATTATTTGCTCAGCATATGGATTGAGTAAATATAGTGAAAGAATACAACCCTGGTGTGCACCTTTCCTGATTTTAAACCATTCAGTGTCCCCTTGTTCTGTTAGAATGACTTCTTGGTGTGTATACAGGTTCCTCATGAGCACAATCAAGTGTTCTGGAATACTCATTTTCTGCATTTTAGTCCATAGTTTATCTTTATCCATGCAGTAGAAGTCCTTTGCGTAGTCAGTAAAGCATAAGTAAATATTTTCCTGGTATTCTCTGTTTTCAGTCAAGATCCATCTGTCGTCAGCAGTCATATCCCTTGGTTCACGGCCTCATCTAATTCTGGCTTGAACCTCTGACAGTTCTGTCTCAGTGTACAGTCATAGCCGCTTTTGAATGATATTCTGCAAAATTTTACTCTGGATGATACTTCATAAGTAGGTCCCACTCATGGTGCCCCCGTGTGTGTCAGAGTAGAACTGTGCTCCACAGGGTTTCCCATGGTAGAAATTTCAGAAGTAGATTTCCCCGCATTTTGTTCTGGGCATACTCAAACCACCATCCTTTTGGTGAGCAGGCAATGACATAGCCATTCCCCCCACCCAGGGCCTTCATTGGATTTATGTGTTTGGCAAAAGTACTGGCCTTTGTTCTGTTCCTGTTTGCCTGACCAATGGAAAACGTGGGTCGTGGAAAACCACCTGGCCCACTGCTAGCCACTCAGCAGGGACTTAGGTTCCTCATTTCTCACATGGGTTGCCCCGAGTCCTGTAGCTGTTGGCCTCTTTCAGGACCTTGTTGTCTCCAGGACCTCGAGCTCCCTGCCCCAGAAAGTGGGTGCCTCCTATGGCAGCCCCTAAGAGGTGCCTTCTCCACCCGCTTCTTCTCCCTGGGGTCTTAAGTCTGGTTTCACCCACAGGCAAAGACGAGTGCCTACCTACAGACTGACTCACCTTCCTCCTGGTTTCCTTTGTGCCCGTTTCACCGTTTACAAGCATGGAATCCGGTGGCATTGCTTACATTTGCCATAAGTCTCTGCTGTCCCCATACACAGAAACTCCGTGTCCCCTGTTTGCTGCCCATCTCTCTGCCCCAGCCTTTGCTGTGGTCTTCATGCGTTTGCCCATTCTAAAGTTTTCAAGGGAGTGGGGCCTAGTACATCAGTTAGCATGAGGTGCTCAAGGGTCATTGTGTCATAGCGTGTCGCGTATGCATTTTCTCATTATGGCTGAGTACTCTTGCACTGTGTGGATGTACCACACTCTCTCATTCATCCATTCATCTGCGGATGGACGCTGAGCTGTCTCATGCTTTTGGGCATTTGTAAACAGTGATTCAATGGTGGGGTAGTGGGTGCCTCCCAGTCAACTCCTACTCATGTCAATCCCATGTGACAGAGTTGAATCCCCCTTAGGATTTTTGTGGTGGTTGTGTGCCGTCGAGTCGGTTCCAACTCATAGTGACCCAGTATAAGGTTTCCAAAGCTATAATTGTATGTGGGAGCAAGGGAGCAGAAAGTTGCATCTTTCTCCCATAAAGCGGCTGGTAGATTCGAACTGCTGACCTTTTGGTTAGCAGCCCAGCTTGTAATCCGTTGCACTATCAGGGTTTTCTCATCTGTCGTATTTAGTGATGGAAGATTGGGCAGCATTGCATTTTTGTTCATAGGGACACTGTGAGCCGGAAGCAGCTGGACAGGACCCAACAGTGACAGTCTTTATGCGGGCAAGTCACTCACTAGGTCTTCCCTGCTGTGGAACACCTGGGTGGATTTGAACCACTGGCCTTTCATTGGGCAGTCGAGTAGTTCACCGTTGCTCCACAGGGTTCCTGAACATTGGTGTACATGTTCCAAGTGTTTTCATTCAAGCGTCTTTGTGAAGATGCTTGCCAACAAGAGAGCTTTTAAACTGCCAGAACATCTCATTTACCACAATAAAGAGACATGTTGGGTGCAGCAAAGTCAGTATTAATGCTTAAAAGAATAATGCCTCATTTTTGGATAAAACTGTACAATATCCACAAATTGGTTCAGTGTAGCATCGCTCCATCAGCTAGAACTTACTGTTCTTGGTCCTGGCCCCTGTGTGCACAGCAGTCTCTAGGAGACAGAGACGCTGAAACATGTGGCTTCTGGAAGAACAGATGCAAACCCAGGATGGGGAAGCCTGGAGTTGCGTTTCTTTTACAGAAACATTCAACCAGGGGCAGACTTCCTCCTGTTTTGCTCTTGGATGGCACTGAGCCAGTTGTGCCTTTTAAAGGTCATTTGTCATCTCATAGAAGGGGGTTTCAAAACGTTTGTGGAAAAATGGAACTGAAGGATAATGGGATTTGAAGCTCCCCCGTGTGGATTCAATCCCTGGGTAATACACATGGTTTATGTCCTCACCTGCTAACTGGAAGGCAAGGTTCACCCAGAGATGCCTCAGAAGAAGGACCTGGCAGTCATTGAGAATATCAGAGAACAAAACCTGTTACTATTATCAGGTCAATTCCAACCCATGTGTTACAGAGTCAGCCACACCACAGGTGTTCTTGATGGCCATATTGCTGAAAGCAGATCGCTATGCACCACTGGGTGGATTTGAACTGCCAGTCTTTAGGTTCGTGAGCATGTTGAAAGCCCTATGGAGTACATTTCTACTCTGACACTCTTGGGAGTGGCTTGAGTCAGACAGCCACTGAGCCACCTCACCACAAACAAACACCCCCAAAATACTCCAAAGCTGTCACTGCCCAGTCCGTTCTGACTAAAGATGACCCTAGAGGACAGAAGTGCCATGTGGGGTTTCTGAGGCCGTCATCGGTCCAGAAACCCACTGCTGTCTCTTTCTCCCACAGAGTGCCTGGTGGGATTAAGCCTTTAGGTGAGCACCCGACTCTAACTACTGCCACCTCAAGGGATACCATTTCCCCTCTGTCTTCCATGTGTCCAGCCAACTGCCCCGTACACCGCTGAGTGAATGGGACGTGTATGTCCACG